AATTATGTTTTATTTTGTAACCCTTTTGGGTTTTCAACAAAATAATAAAGTAGCATGTATTTCGTCCGCGGAAAATAATTAAACGCATGCTCAGTATCTCCAGCTCACCGATTCTCAGTATGTCGGACGCGTCCGAAAGAAACAGTTTTCGGTTCAGTCAGTGGGTGTATTCGAACTCGATTACGAAAAACGTGCTGCAGCGGCAGCCTGCATCGTGGCGGCGCCGCGCCACGCGCTACGCACGAGCGCTCTATGACATCAATAATACCGCGAGAGAGAGCGATTAAAAAAAGCATATGGATTATGGAGCCATCAACTCTGTAAACGCTCTCGCGTCGCGATACTTATGCCGACCGAGTCGAGCACGCCTCTTTGAGAACCTCTGTCTGTTTACGTTCGGGCCTGGGGTACATTGGCTACATGCAGCCCTATGTATGCAGCCATGGTACATGACATGTTGTCACGCATGCTTGCTCAGTCAGTATCAGCTGCTCTTGCGTGCTGCTCTGCTCATCATCATCACTTCTTCTCAGGACAACATGTCGCAGTTCAGTTCAAACTTGGAGAGGAGTAACATACTCCAGGATATTGTTTATTTCGATTCGGAGGGACTGTGTCAGGAATATGCAAAAGTGAGTAACTTTAGGTATTTCAGGATCTGCTGACGCAAGACGCGTCGCGAACTGTTTTAAACGATTCAGTCCGACTTAGTGTACTGGTTCAACCGGTTCACTAAAAAGAACCGGTTCAAAAGAACGATTCGTTCACGAACCGGCCATCACTAATCAGTACTAGACTTGACTTTAGTTTCTCAGGCTATGGCAGGTCAGATAATGTGGGAAGTGTATAGTGAGTCAACGATTGGAAGTGACCACTATCCGATTATGTGTAGGATGGGTAGCAGGAGCTGCAATATGAATCAGTGTTTTTCTGAAAGATGGAATTTTAGTAAAGCTGATTGGATAATGTTCACATTTAGAAGTGATAGGAATATGCGTCAAGTTGAAGTGATAGATGATGTGGATGAATTTACTGAAAATGTCAGTGTAGCTATGGTGGAAGCTGCAAAAATCGAGTCGAGGCCGGGAAGTAAGAAGCAGAAATCGGTACCCTGGTGGACAGATGAATGCACACAAGCAATAAGCTGTAGAAATAAAGCGTTTAAAGGTTTTAGAAATAGTTTAAGTTTTCAAAAGTATTTAGAATATTAAAGAGAGCAGGCTAAGGTGAGGAAAGTAATTAGAAAAGTAAAAAAGGATTACTGGATAAAGTATTGTAACACTATAGGAAGACAAACCTCTGTAAATGATGTATGGAGAGTTGTTAAAAAAATGAGTGGGGTGCAGCAATCTTGGAGTTATCCAGTCCTTAAGAATGGTGAAAATATGGCAGTGAATGATGAAGATAAAGCATTGTTAATGGTCAAAAGTATAGCCAATGTTCATAGTAGTCTCAACTTAACTGATGATGAAAGACACAATAGAGCGGCAACAAAAAGACAGTACCAATATCTTTTAGAAAATGTAGAGGACCGAGGTGATAGCATGAACGCAAGTTTTTCAGTTACTGAACTTAAAAAGGCTATAAGCAAGGCGAAGGTAACAGCGACAGGAAAAGATAGAATAAGCTATGCCAACATGACATCATGACTTTTGCGTAAACATATACGCCACTTTCGAGTCAGGTGGCGTGTTATCTCCACGCATTTTGTGCTATCCGCGTGTATCCGCGTGTATGCGTATATGTCTACGCCATTAACGTCCGCGTCATTCCGCGTGTCCGAACACGCAGTCAAATCTCCAGTCATAAATGCCATTAACCCCAGTGACGGTTAAGTTTAGGGATGGGGTTGAGGTAAGTCATATCTTTTTTTTACCTAGGATGGTAAGGGAACAGTTATAAATGCCATTAACCCCAGTGACGGTTAGGTTTAGGGACGGGGTTAAGGTAAGTCATATATTTATATAACGTTAAGTCAACGGCGTTCATAAACACGCTGAAAAGCGATTATGCGTCTTGATAGCACGCCAAAAATGGAAATACGAATTGGCGTCTCATACACACGCTACTTTATGAGATCAGTCTGGCTATGCAATGTTGAAACATCTTAGTAGTGAGGCTCTTAATACTGTATTGGAGTTATTTAATAAGGTATGGGAGCAAGGGAAAATACCAAAGAGTTGGAAAATGGCTGTTATTATCCCAATTAGAAAGCCAGGAAAAGATCCTACTATGGCTTCTAATTATAGGCCAATTGCTTTGTCGTCTCACCTAGGTAAAGCAATGGAGAGAATGATTGTGGAGAGAATGACCTTTTATGTTGAGTCTAAGAATTTGATAACGCCGTTTCAAAGTGGCTTCAGGAAAGGAAGATCAATAATGGACCCAGTTATTAAATTGGAAAGTGACATAAGGAAGGCCCAAGTATGCAAAGAAGTAGTTGCTGCCATATTTTTTGATATGGAAAAAGCATATGATATGCTTTGGAAGGAAGGTGTGTTAATTAAAATTCGAAGGCTTGGAATAGATGGGAAAATGTATTTTTGGATTAAGGACTTTTTAAGCAATAGACAAATTCAGGTGAAGATAAACAGTAGCTTCTCTGATTGCGTATTTGTGGAAAATGGGGTACCCCAAGGAAGTGTTATTTCACCAATTCTGTTCTCTATTATGATAAATGATATATATGATACACTTGATTATAGTATAGGCAAATCATTGTTTGCAGATGACAGCGCTCTCTGGAAAAGAGGTAAAAATGTTAAATTCATTGTTAAACATTTGCAAAAAGCTATTGACTTGGTTGAAGAATGGGCTGGAAAATGGGGACTCAGGTTTTCTGTTGAGAAAACTAAGGTAGTATTTTTCTCTTTTAAAAAAATTGAAGAAAGGTTTAAATTTCGAATGTATGATAGAGAGTTAGAAAGAGTAAATTGTATGAGATTTTTAGGTATGTATTTTGATTCTAAACTTACCTGGCATAATCATATTGAAAAGGTTGTTGACAAATGTAAGAAAGTCATTAATATAATTAGATGCTTGTGCAATAAGGACTGGGGAGCAGATATGACTTCAATGAAAAGATTATATGTTGGATTAATTAGGTCTATTGTTGACTTCGGGTGCATAGCTTATGGGTCTGCGGCAAAATCTGAATTAAAGAAGCTTGATGTTGTTCAGGGGTTGGCCCTTAGGCTGTGTTCAGGAGCAATGAGAACTTCCCCTATTTCAGCTCTTCAGGTTGAAGTAGGTGAAGTGCCTTTTGAGTTGAGATGACTGCAAATGTCATTATCATATTATGTTAATTTAAAGGGGCATATGGAAGATCACCCAACTAGAAGTGTCCTTATTTCAACATGGGAGCAGGAAAAAAATAAGAGAGAGTCATATTTAGTGCAAGTATACGCGAAAAGATAAAAGAAGCGGATATAGAAAAGTTTGAATTTAGTCCATCTGTAGTCTATCCACCGCACCCACCGTGGATGATAATGCTTCCAGATGTTGATATAACTTTACATGAAAATATTAAAAATTATAGGGGGGATAGTGGTCTAACGGCTATGAGATATGTGGATAATTATTATGGATGTGCAGATCTTTACTGATGGGTCAAAACAACCAGAAACAGGAAAAGTGGCAATTGCATATGTGATACCAGAGTTTGATATTCATTTTCATGCAAGAGTTTAAGATCATTTGTCACTGTACTCAGCAGAACTAATAGCAATTGTGATGGTGTTGCAGTGGGTAGAACAAATTAAACCACTGAGAGTAGTTGTGTGTTCAGATTCGTTGTCAGCTTTAGAAAATGTTAAATTAGGTAATTCGAGTGAGAAGCATGATATTGTATGTGAGATATTGACTTTGCTTCATAGTATTCAAAATGGGGGGACACATATAAAGTTTGTTTGGGTTCCGGCCCATGTAGGTATGGTTGGTAATGAGATGGCAGACGAGTTTGCTAAACAAGCTTTGAAAGCGACAAATGTGTCTATTATATGTAAATTATCAAGGTCAGAAGCTAAGTCAATAATTAAAAAACACGTTAAAAAGCTTTGGCAAGATAAATGGGATAGGGGAGATAAAGGGAGGGGTTTTTACACGATAAATCCTGAGGTTGGTCAAGGTCGTCTGGTTGTAAGATGTCGAAGAGAAGAACAAATTTTTACAAGAATGAGAATAGGGCACACTGGACTAAATAAAACATTACAGCTAATAGGAAAACATGAGTCAGGAAATTGTGAGATATGTAATATGCCAGAAACAGTGGAACATGTTTTTATGATGTGTAAGAAATTTAAGAGAGAAAGGATTTTAATGAAAAGGAAAATAGAGAGTAGTGGGGAAAGGTTTATCTTAAGAGATATTTTGTCTAAAGCTTCCGACCATAGAATAATAAAATATGTGTTTGAATTTTTAAAGAACACTAGGATCATTGAGCGAGTGTAGGTTTTTTTTGTTTTTTTTTGCTATAGTGATCATCAAGCACAACATATATGGAGGGTGGCGGTAGTGCGCTTAGTAAGTCCGCATCCGCCGTTAAGCAGTCAAAGAAGAAGAAGAAGAAGAGGAGCAGGAGGCGCCGGGGCGGCGGCCTGTCGCGCTTGAGGACCCCGCACTGACTCTGGCGCTGGGCGGATTGCTGTTGTCTGTACTCTCGCTGCGTGTCACGGCCTACGGACACAGAGTCTGTCTGCTGTAGAGAATTTCAACGATGGCGATTTCTCCTGGAAGAAATCTCTGAATCAGACGAGCACACGGACATTTGTGTTGTGATAGTTTCGCCTGACTAAACATCCAGGTAACACGCAGTAATTCACCAAACAGAAATAATTACAAACGAGGAGTAATTCACTAATGTGTTTATGTGGCAGGAAGGGCGTTTCCGTCTTAATTTTTCATTATTATTGATGGCCGGTCTAGCCTATCATAGGTGCGCTTGGGCTTTAAAACAGTCACGTAGTTCTCACTCGTCAGGCGTCACGTTCGACTTGCGTCGGTAACGCGCTCTCGTCACTGCCTCCCGGAAACCGGATGTGAGCACCCGAACCGGTAAGGAGTATGCACTGCTGTTCTTTTTTTAGCTCCTGAAGTGTAGTCACGAGAAGTGTGTTCTTTTAATGTGCCCTTTTAGAAACACTGTTTTCTTTGGAGAGCGTGCTGCTGTCCTCTGCAGCACCAGCTCGTTACTGTTCATCATTGTTTACATGTACTGCGTGTATTGGATGTGGACGCTGGAGGAGGTAGGAAGAGTTCGCTGATCTCTCGCTAATCGTGCTCTTTTAAAATGCGTGTTTTAAAGTGCTAGTTTGTATTTAAGGATGTGTCCTAATGAATACCCTGTCTCCGTGGTGAGAACCTGAGTTATTCTCCAGAGAAAGCTACGTTTCCTTCTCCCCGACGATCGGTACGTAGTAGTTCCCTTTCGTAGTCACTTCGAGTTACGTCAGAAGTGACGGAGATTGGGGGGTTTCGCATAGAAAGCCAATCCTCTTCGAGTATTTAAAAACGAGCCAATGGCATGCAATGCCTTGGGGCTGCGGAATTTTGCATAGCGTACTCCGCCCTACTCCGTGAGTATAAAAGGAGGAAGTGAACGCAACCGCAGTATGTTTTCGCTTCGGAGCCAAGAGACCTCTTCACTCCTAAAGCCATTCTCACTGATTCAAGACTCTTCGAGACGAGCGTCCTCTTTAGTGTTGGTGTGACGGCGGTACCCAGCGAGACTCTGCATTGCCTGCGATCTGAGCAGTGGTCTGCCAGACTTTGCGCTTCTCCCTGGTCGCCTCAGCGCTGAAAGAGTGAATTTCCTCCTCTCTTTAAGTGAAAGAGCTGCACGCGGCACGTCTTTTTAAAGACGACTCGCCCGTGTTCTTCTGGGTGCGTTCGTCTCATGTCATTCTCTGATGGTCGCGATCGCTGCTCTGTGTGTGCCTGGGCTTCAGCATGCAGAGCAGCGTTCGCGGATGTTTCATGTTCCTTCTGAATGGGAACATGAGCATCTCTACACTGTGATTGAGACTCAATGATCTGATAGTGAGAGTCCCCGTGTCCGTCACTCGTTCTGCTTCTTAAAATAGAAGCTGTTCGACTCGCGGATTGGGTGATATGACGGTGAATGTGTGACAAAAAACCCCGACGTTAGTTTCTCGGGTCACACCCACCGCTCAGTGTTAGAGCCAGTGAGCGCTGTGTCGCTTCAGACGTCTGCCTCTCTGAGGTACCGTCTGTTTCGCTCGGCGCTCCAGAGAATGATGCGATGACGATCGCAGCATCACAAGGCGGGCTTGACTCCTCGGGAAGTGAGGATACGGCCGCGTTGCCTCCCTCGGGAGCGTCGGCGTCGCCGTGTCGGCCGTGCTATCTCGGGCCTCCGTGAGCATCGGGTGGGGGTGGAACTCCACCCTATCCCGATCTCTCGCGGCTGGATAATTGGTTTTTGGGTAACGCTGCCGCCTTACGGCCACGGCCAACCCCAATTTCCTTTTTTTCCCCGAGTTGCATGCGGAACTGACACGCACTAAAAAAAGAAATAAAGAAAGAAAAATAATAAAGAAAAAAATTTTTAAAAAAAGCGTGCTTCAGTTCCCCGCCCTTCCTCCCCTCGGCGATGCGGCTGTCTGTGGGTACGCTGGGGCTCCCCCGGTCAACCGGCGGTTGCTCTCAGATGCCCCTCCAAAGCCTATGGGTTCTCGTCGTCTATGGCGGCGCGATTCTGTAGAGCGGCGGGACAGACAGCCTCCGCCCTGCATATGATGAGCACCTACAAAGCTAGCTGCTCAGGAATGTGCACGAGGAGAGGACGGACCAAGCGAGCTGCAAGCCTGCCGCCTACCTTGCCCTTAAACGGGTCACGGAGGCGGTCGCTCGCTCCCTTGGTCAGGTGATGCCCACCGCTGTGGTCCAGGAGCATCATAATGTTCGGCGGTGCGGTCCAGGACTTTGCCCAGCACTTCTCGACCGCCTAGGAGCAGACGAAGGCGGTTTCTCTGCCCCGACGGCCAGCTGCTGCCTCCAACCAGCCGTCGGCTCGGACGCCTCCGCCAGCTTGCCGCCGAGGACGCCCCCCTGCGGCTCCCTTCCCTCCCACGCGGCCCCAGCAGCAGCCTTCAGCCGGTTCGCGTCGCGGAGGAGGCCACAGGTAAGCGTCCCCTCCCCCCCCCTCAGGCCGTGTGCCCCGCTAAACGCCAGGCGAAGCGATGTTCCTGAGGCGGGCCGCTCAGTGATAGTGTCATGGTTTTTCTCAGGAGGCGGTGGCAGGGCCCCTCCTTCCCCGGTGGAGGGCCGGTGGAGAATCTTTTGTTCTAGCTAGCTCCCTGAGCTGGTTGAGGAAAAGGTGACACTGTCATTGAGCACACAGACTGGAATGAGCGCGCACGACGTCCAGTGCGTCGCCCCGTTCATTCCTCTCTGTCTCGGAGGGCGCGGAAGGGTGCGTGTGTCGTCCCCGGGCTACGCCAATCCCTTCCCCCTCTGTCGCCAGACCCCCGGCAGAACAGACCCCCGTGGAACGCTCTGCCTTCCCTGGTCTCTTCTGTCGGGGAGCGGGTTTCGACGGTACATCCGGACGGGGTAACTCCTGCACGCATGCCGGTCGACCCGCCTCGCTGCCCCTCCGGGGGGACGTCTGTGGTTCGCATGACCCCGTTGGCTCACTTCCTGGAAGCCTGGCTAGCGCTTCCCGGGTATCCCGCTGGGTCATCAGAACGATCAGATTCGGCTACGCGATCCAGTTCGCACGGTCTCTTCCCCGCTTCAGGGGAGTTCGCTCCACGATGGTTGGTGGCAATGCCCCAGTCTTGAGAGCGGAGATTGCGACCCTGCTGGCGAAGGGTGCAATCGAGACGGTCCCTCCAGCCGAGGTGAGGTCCGGGCTTACAGCCCCTACTTCATTGTCCCCAAAAAAGACCGGTGGGTTACGACCGATCCTGGACCTGCGCATTTTGAACCGTTCTCTCCATCGACTACCGTTCAAAATGCTCACGGCCAAACGCATTTTCGAATGTGTTCGGTATCAGGATTGGTTTGCAGCGATCGACCTGAAGGACGCGTACTTCCATGTCTCCATTCTCCCTCGACACAGACCGTTTCTTCGGCTTGCCTTCGAGGGCCAGGCATACCAGTACGCCGTTCTCCCATTCGGGTTAGCTCTGTCCCCTCGCGTCTTCACGAAGATCGTCGAGGCAGCCCTTGTTCCCCTTCGCGAACACGGGGTTCGCATCCTGAACTATCTCGACGACTGGCTGATACTAGCACACTCTCGAGCTCAGGTTTGCGAACACAGAGACCTGGTGCTCCGGCACCTAGCCCGTCTGGGCCTTCGGGTCAACCGGGAAAAGAGCAAACTTTGCCCCGTGCAGAGGATCTCTTTTCTCGGCGTGGAGATAGACTCGGTCGCCATGTCCGCGCAGCTCACGAACGAGCGCGCGCACTCACTGCTGGCTTGTCTTCGACAGTTCGAGGGCAAGAGTGCGGTTCCACTGAAACTATTTCAGAGGCTCCTGGGGCATATGGCATCCGCGGTACGCCGCTCGGTTTGTTCATATGAGACCGCTTCAGCTGTGGCTTCGCGATCGAGTCCCGAGGTGGGCATGGCATCGCGGCACGCTCCGAGTTCCAGTGACTCCGACGTGCCGCCGAACCTTCTTCCCGTGGTCGAACCTCAGCTTTTTACGGACAGGGGTCCCTATTCAGCGAGTTTCCAGGCATCTCGTTGTCTCCACAGATGCGTCTACCACGGGTTGGGGTGCCATGTGCAATGGGCATGCAGCCGCCGGTTCCTGGACAGGAGCCCAGCGCCTCATGCACATCAATTGCCTCGAGCTGTTGGCAGTACGGCTCGCCCTACACCGCTTCCAAGCGTTGCTCAAGGGCCAGCATGTGCTTGTCCGCTCAGACAACACTACGGCAGTAGCGTACATCAACCACCAGGGGGGGTCTACGCTCGCGCCGGTTGTCGCAGCTCGCCCGCCACCTCTTGATATGGAGTCAGAAGCACCTGAGGTCCCTTCGTGCAGTTACATTCCTGGAGACCGGAACTGGGCAGCCGACGAGCTGTCCCGGGCCCGTCCATCTCCGGCGAATGGCGACTCCATCCCCAGTCGGTCCAGCTGATTTGGGACCAGTTCGGGGAGGCACAGATAGACCTGTTCGCCTCTCGGGACTCGTCCCACTGCGCCCAGTTTATTCTCTGACCCGCGGCTCTCTCGGCTCGGATGCGCTGGCGCACAGCTGGCCACGGGGCCCACGCAAGTGTGCGTTCCCCCAGTGAGCCTCCTTGCACGGGTGTTGTGCAAGATCAAGGAGGACGAGGAGCAGGTCTTGCTGGTAGCCCCCTACTGGCCCACCAAGACGTGGTTCTCCGAACTCATGCTCCTCGCGACAGCACCTCCTTGGCCTATTCCTCTGAGACCGGACCTACTCTCTCAGAGACGGGGCACTCTGTGGCACCCTCGTCCCGATCTTTGGAGGCTGCACGTGTGGCTCCTGGACGGGACGAGGCAGGTATGAGTTCGCTGCCACCTGTGGTGGCGGCAACCATCACTTCCGCAAGAGCGTCGTCCACGAGGCACCTTTATGCGTTGAAGTGGAACCTCTTCGTCAATTGGTGTTCTTCTCACTGAGAAGACCCCCGGAGATGTTCGATCGGAGTCGTGCTTCCTTCCTGCAAGAGGGGTTGGAGCGTAGGCAGGCCTCCCCTTGAGGCCTCCCCTGGAGCCTTTGCAGTCGGTAGAGTTTTTGCCCTGTCCTATGTGACAGCACTCCTGATTGCATTGGTCTCCATCAGGAGAGTAAGGGACCTGCACGCACTCTCTGTTGACGAAGTGTGCCTGGAGTTCGGGCCGGCTTACTCTCACGTATTCCTGAGACCCCGGCCTGGATATATGCCCAAGGTTCCTACCACTCCCCTCCGGGACCTGGTGGTGAACCTGCAAGCGCTGCCCCTGGAGGAGGCAGACCCAGCCTTGGCACTGCTCTGTCCGGTACGTGCTCTCCGCACCTATGTCGAGAGAACGCGGTGTTTCAGGACCTCAGACTAGCTCTTTGTCTGTCATGGGGGGAGCCAGAAGGGAAGGGCTCTCTCAAAGCAACGGCTGTCCCACTGGTTAGTGGATGCCATTGCTTTGTCTTACCAGCAGCAAGGCCTTCCGTGCCCCCTTGGTGTGACGGCCCATTCCACTCGGAGTGTAGCCTCCTCTTGGGCTTAGCGCACGGCGCCTCGCTAACAGACATCTGCAGAGCTGCAGGCTGGGCGACACCCAACACCTTCGCCAGATTCTTAATCTGCGAATTGAGCCGGTATCCTCTCACGTACTCGTTTCGGCCAGTTCTGGATCCGCTCAGGTGTCTTCGCTTGCTCGCCACTCCACTCCCCGGACTGGATAAGTGCGATATTTCCTCAGTTCTTCCAT